ATGTAAAAAGAAGACAATGGACAATGTAGTGAATATAATAATAAATTTGAAGGTAATGAATCTTTGAATTGTAGAAAATAAAGATAATATAACTAATGAAATTAGATCTATTTTTAAATTTTTTATAATGAATAATTTTTTAAAATGGAAAAGTTTAATTTATGCCCCTCCATAATATGTTAATTATCAATATCACCCTTGAATTATTAGTGGTGTAAATGTTGCCCCTCAATTTTCAAAACGGTACATATAATGCCCTTCCGGCTCCCGTAGTGTAAATATAATGTTGAACCTCATTTTTCAAAACGGAACATATATTGCCCCTACCGTATGGTAATAGAGCGGCAATATATGTACCGTTTTTAAAATTGATGGACAACATTTACACCATTAATAATTCAGGGGTAACATTGATAATTGGCATATTATGGAGGGACATAAATTACAATTTTCCCTTTTTTTTTTAAAAAAAATAAAGACATTATAGAAATCTAATTCTAAATTAATTAAATGCATATGCATTACTTTTTGTTGTAGCTACTAATTTATTTAATTTAATAAAAGTAATAAAGTTGCGTACATACTTTTCATCAACAATAATGAAATTATTTATTTATTTATTTTAATTTACCTTCGTTGTTGAGACAAATTGTTTTAAGAGTTTGTCAAATGACAATTGTTACAATTCGTGTAAATAGAGGATGATAATAAATAACAGGGTCGTTCCAATAAAAATTGGGGTCCTGTGCAATATTTTAAATTGGGTCCTTTTTTTTTCTTTTTTTTTTTTTAAGTAATTTGTATATAAAATAATAATTGTTCAAATAGTTGTGTCAAAAATTCAAAATATAAATATTGTATAAAAAATACATCTAAAATTTCATTTTAAAAAGTGACATGCGATGTGCACATTTAGTCATATGATATACACTCAGTTTCATGCTCTTTAAGTCTAACACCAAGATGTGTCTAGTCCCTAAAACCTTCATTGACCAAATCACATTTTCCTATACCTTTTATAAAAATCTTGCAACAAAAACAAAACACCTTGTCAAGTTCTTTGGAATAATGAATATACAAGTCAATCTCGATCACACTTCTCTCCATTTGGCAAATATCTTGTGTAAAACGCTGACGAAAATCTTCTTGAGAATTTATCTTTAGGACCTTTATTTATTGATAAATCTATTTTAGGACCATCTTTCACACAAATATCTATTAATTTATAATCAAAGGCATCTCAATTTCTTTGATCATATATGTTAAATAAAAGCAACATTTGATTTATCATTAGCTACGGCCGACTGTACTAATAGGTTGCGCAAAAGAAATGAGATTTGCTAATTTTGCTACTGTGCTACATAATGACTAATGAGCTTTGCTAATTTTGCTACAGTACTACACAATGACTAATGCATGAGATTTGCTTAATGCGGCTTTTATATATATATATATATATATATATATATATATATATATATATATATATATATATATATATATATATATATATATAATTTTATTATTTTTAAATATGCGGCCCCCAATACAGCCCTGGGCAAACATGCCCAGGGACGACCCTGATAAATAATTCAAAATATATAGTCAGAATAGATATTGTTATAATGATATAGTAAAAATTAATTTACAAATTTCTTAGTTTTCATGCATTGATAAAATTTTGATGTGTAAACTTGTTCAATTAGAGCCAATGGGATGTAATATTGTCAATTCTTTGAAAAATGGTCTTACCGTTTTAGATTTCAGGTGTAATTGTATTTATGATCAACAACTTTGTAGTTAGGTCGAACAGGTCTGACATTGATGTAAGAACAATTTTGTCCGATAAAAAAAATAATAGTATAATATTTGTAAAATAATGTACAATTGTACTATTATAAAAATACATACAAAAAATATTAATATCATAACGACCTAAATCATACCAATAATGCAAAAGTATAATTGAAATACTAAGTGTTGTTCTGATCTAAATAATCAAAAGAAGATTAATTAAACGAAAAAAATAAAACTTAACCTAAATTTGTTTTTTTTAAATGCATAAAATTCAAATAATTTTTAAAGTTCTTGATTTATAATCTTTGATGCTTAACTTTGAATGTTATGTATTTAGTCGGACTAATTATTTGACCAAAGTTTATGTTAAATTATATATATATATATATATATATATATATATATATATATATATATATATATATATATATATATATATATAATATTCATAGTATATGTTTAACAATTATGCCAACTCTAGTAGAGGGTAAATAAGAAAAATCATTAAAAAAAAATACTAAAATCAAAATAATATGAACCATTCATTTTAAGAAACAATAGGACCGACATTTTTTTTGTTCCAGTTAAGGGCCTAACATTGTTGGCTCTTATTAGAATTGTAGATGTAGATAGAATTGTAGATTGTAGATGTAGATAGATGTAGAGATTATGTTAAGATTATGTGTATTCTACTCTATAATTATGTACATACGAAACATAGGAGCATTGTGCGCCTTGGTGTACGATATAAGAATTGATTCTTACAATAATTAATTTCAGATCAATGGATCGGATCATTGAATTTATTGATTAAGTGGGTTTTTTTTTTTTTTTTTTTTTTTTTTTTGAAAGGGATTAAGTGGTTTATTTGTTATCGAATTAATTTTTTTTTACCCTAAACCTTAAATTTTGAGCCATTGAATTTTCGATTAGCCTCAGTTAAATTTTTTTATATTTTTAAATTAACATTATAAGCTTTCAATTTTAACAAATTATCCATTAATAAATATAAACTTTTTTTGAACAAATTAATAAATATAAACTTAAAACATCAATTAATCAATTCAAATCTTCAATCTAAAATTCCAACTCAAGAATATAATGTAACAGTGGAATCGGAGTTGTCTATTTATCTTTTTGGTTTGAGTAAGTCAGCTATAAGCAATTTAGGTTGGCTTACCTCCTTGTGGTTACGTTCTTTTCAGATACAGTCACAAGGCGGACTTCACTCAAAATGCACCTTAAGGTAGCGGATGAGAGCTTTTCCGTAAATCAAAAAAAATATAATGTAACAGTTACAAATATTTGTACAAAATATATAACTAAAATTTTTTTATATTAATAATTGTATAATTTAAGATTTGACAAATAAAAAATTAATATATTTACATTTTTAATATAATATTATAATTAGTTTTTATTTTTCAATATTTATTATCATAAACAATATTTTCTTTGCAATAAATTTATTAATATATTAATTAAACTTTTATTATAAAAGCTTGAAAAAAATATTTAGAAAAACAAGAGTAGTCTTTTTTTTTTTAAAGCCAACCAATGAATGATTGTATTAATGAATCAAAGCTGCAATGCAGTCTGGAGGGATAGAATCCCAGTACATAGCCTGATCCTGAATAAAAGCTAACGAAGCTAACGTGTGCGCATGCGCATTAATCTGCCTAGAAACATGATTAAACAAGACATAATTAAAAGACGAAGCTAAAGTCCTACACTGGTCAACTACTACTCCAACATAAGACATTATGATAGTTGTATTCTGCCGTATCGCATTTCTCAGCTGTAAACAATCTGTTTGAATCGTTACCGTTGTTATATTCTTCTCCAAAAGCCAGGATAGAGCTTCCTTACAAACAAGAGTAGTCTTAAATGACTTGAGATTAACTCGTTCGGCCATGAAGTTTATCGTTTTCAAACTGTCGAGTTGAATTTCTTATTAGGTTTCATCTTTTGGTCCTAATATTATTGTGATATAAATATTTTTTGTCCTTTGTCAAATAAATTGTTGAAATATCATTAAATACAAGATTATTTTAATTTTTTTTTATACAAAGTAGGTTGATCCGCTATATTTTTTATGTTTTTTTTTTTAAAATCCATTATGGAAGACTGAAATGCCCTTATATTTAACGATATTTAAACTGTTTTGTTAATAAAAGACCAAAAATGGTCAAACCACAATAATACTAGGACCAAAAGTGGATGTTTAGAAAAAAAATTTAAAAAAATGACTAAAAGTGAACTGCTACACCTATAAATCTAAAACGAACAATTGAATTAACTATTATGTATAATATAATGAATGACTCTCCTGTGAGTTGTGACACCGTCTCACAGATTTTTATTTGTAGATGGGCGAGGTCAATATGGAAATGCAATACTTATACTGAAAAATGTAATACAAATAAATATAATTAGCTTATAAAGAAAATGTAATACTTTTTAGAAAAATGTAATATTTTAAAACCAAAATGTAAAAGTATTACATTTTATTCACTTATAAATAACAAACACTTTATTTCTAATTAATATTACATTTTTGAATTTTTTAATATAAGTATTACATACATTTTCATCTTGATTCGTCCCATCTTATGTATAAGAATCAATGAGACGGTCTTACATAAACTTTTGCATAATATAATATAACAGTTAATGCCACATGGGGTCCTCCGAGTAAAATGGTTTTGCTACGTTTAGTCCTAAACTTTCAAATTGACCATTTGTTGTCCTTCGACTTTCAAATTTAATCAATGAGACGGTCTTACATAAACTTTTGCATAATATAATATAACAGTTAATGTCACATGGGGTCCTCCGAGTAAAATGATTTTGTTACGTTTAGTCCTAAACTTTCAAATTGACCATTTGTTGTCCTTCGACTTTCAAATTAAACCATGGTCCTTGAGGGCCATGTTTGGTTAACTTGGACGAAGGGTTAAATTTGAAAGTCTAAGAAACACAGATGGTCAATTTGAAAGTTTAGGACTAAACGTGGCAAAATCACTATACTCGAAGTACCTTAGTTGGTATTAACTCTATAATATAATATTGATTAATGGAATACTTAAAACTATCTTGAAACTGTGCAGCCATGACCAATGATCTCGGGCGGGTCCATTGAATTATATCCAGCAATATATTACTCGGCCGGCTTGTTCCACGTGAAGTAGCAATCCACGGCCAGTTTTCATTTATTTTAAAGCAGCATCCTCGCTTCTTCAAGTCTACAACTATGCATAGCACCAAGAGCTAGCCAAAGTTTCAGAGTGAGAAATTGTTTTCTGCCCGGGCATACAATAAGGTGTGGAATTTTAATTTATTTTTATATTAATTATATATATAGGCTTGTTTTCAAATGAGAATACAGAAGATACGAACAAGCATGAGTATAGACAATCTACTAAACGCGTACACACAATTTACTCAAGAGTCTCCACCGTCATCCATGCTGGAAATTATGAAATATTCGACCACCTGAAAATGATCTTAAATCAAGTCAAAAGCCTTGTTCCGACCATTTTTGGTATCCGGAAAAACATTTGTTGCTATTTCTGATCACTTTTTGCTTGACTTGATATAAGATCACTTTCAGGTGGTCGGAAATTTCATAATTTTCAACAGTGATTCTTGGTACATTCTCACCTAAAGAAGCGTTGTTATATACAGTGTATATAGGAGGATAATGGGCAGAGATAATAGGGAGGAGGAGGAGGAAAAGCCCCTAGGAAGGTGTTCTGTGCTCACATATGGAGTAGGCCATATGCTCAATGACATTACACAGTGCTGCTGGTATACATATCTCTTGCTTTATTTGACTGATATTGGATTGTCCCCAAGGTATATATGTTGTAGTAATTAGATGCAATAATGTCTCGTTTCACTTCTGATTTACATACTTTTTTTCTGAATACTTAAAACAAAAAAATGTGCAGTAGTGCAGCAATTGTCACACTTGTGGGTCAGTTTGCTGATGCATTTACAACAATAATTGCTGGTGAACTGGTATCTTTCCTTGTCATAACTAAATCATTTTTCTAGCTAGGAAATGGACAAGTTTCCATTGACTACTGATAAGCGCTTGATCTTAATAAGTTGTATCAGAGCCAGTTAAGACTGGTGCTGGAGGGGATTGTTGGACGGAGGTCGATAAAGGGCCAAGTCCAGCACCCTCTGTTGAGCATATAACCATTAATGTGCAACCCAACTATTAGCTTAGACTTTTAGCTGAGATGGAGCATATGCTTCAATTTAGTCACACGTGAGGGGGCACTGAGGTCACCCGATAACGTGAGGGGGCGTGCTGAGCATATAACCATTAATGTGCAATCCAACTATCAAGATTGACAGGTTTGGGCAGTTCAAGATATGGCATGGTGCAGGGTGCATAATGGTTGGTGTTTCATTTATTTCGCTTTTCGGGGGCACTTGTATCCCTTGCAAAATTCTGGGTTCAGATTCACCCACAGTGCAAACAGTGGGGTATTGCATATCTGCAGTAGTCTTCTGCAGCGGATGGTCGTGTACTCAAATATCACACATGTATGTAACTCTTCTTCTTAACCTATCTACCTAGCTATTTGAATTATGAGGTCCATGAAAAGTATGTATCATAACATTAACAAAACACGTACAATTGTACGTGGATAATCGTGTTGTAGGTCGATGGTGAACTGCATTACTCTGAATGAATCAAGCAGAATAGCATGTGTTAGCTGTCGCAACGCATTTACAATGGTTAATTGACACCTTTTACTCTTTGTACTTTGTGGTCGAGGCATTGCAGACTAATCATTTTTCCCATTTTCTTTGACAAATTGCTAATAATGAATTAAAGGTTGCAAGCCTCATGTTGTATGCAGTCACTTTCTTTGTGTTCACTAACAATGCAGAAGACATTAAAACTCAGGTAGGTATATATGCTAATAACAATTTAGTTGCAGGCTGTTGAGCCATTAATGTGCAATCCAACTATCAGCTTAGGCTTTTAGTTGAGATGGAGCACATGCTTCAATTTGGTATAGAGGCTGTGTTTATAATGTATAGTAAACCATTATATTGTACGTGCAGTACCGCTGGATGGCATTTATATCGATTTTCATTGGCGGTGTCTTTGTAATCATCTTTCATCTCGGGGTTAAAGAGCCAAGGTTAGTTTAATTTGTCACATATCTTAAGATTATTTCTCATCTTCCGGTTAGTTTTCCTCTGATCTGGCAAATACTATACTGTGTGTCTGTCTGTGTGCCATGGATTTTAAATTGTGGGCAGAAAAAAGGATGATGATGGTCATGAAAAGATTGGCTCCAACACCCCCTGGACTTATTGGTTGAAGAGAGTCTTGTATTACCAAGTTGCAAGTATTTATGTTTTCACCAGAGTTGTTACCAATGTATCTCAGGTACGTAATCTGATCACTGCTGGAAATTATGAAATTTTCGACCACCTGAAAATAATCTTAAATCAAGTCGAAAGCCTTGTTTCGACCACTTTTGGTATCCGGAAAAACCTTTGTTACTATTTCCGACCACTTTTTGCTTTCAACTTGATAAATAGTTGTTAGCTGATTGAGTTAGTGAGTTTGACTAGTTGGCAACATTAGTTGATTGTAGAAAGATGTTTGGTAGTTAGCTGATAGCTGATTACATACAAAATGACTTTATCAAAAAACTGATCGAAAAAAACTGTTTTGAACAGCTTTTTGAATTTTAGTGTTTTGGAGCAATAAGTTGTTACAAAAAGCTAATTAATCAAAGCTCATATTAGTTGTTTAACCAAGTCAAACAGCTAATAGTTGTCAAACCAGACAAAATTGACTGATAGGCTAACTATTTTACCAAATAAGACCTAAATCTCTTGAATTTCAATTCCCATTTCTCTTATTATTTAAGTCTTGGTGATTTCTTTGGATCTGATCTGCTTGCATGTTTTGTTGGCTGGTGGCTCAGACATTTCTTGCTGTGTACGTAATCAATGATCTGCGCATGAGCCAATCTGCAAAATCACTGGTTCCTGCTATCATCTATTTATGCAGCTTCATTACCTCTGTGCTGCTGCAGGTTTGCTATGGAATCTGTAATTATATAAAATTTTGTAGCTTATTTTACTAAAGTGCAGATGGAACCATTATTGTGATTGTATATAGGAACTGGAGTGGAGCGGCAAAAGGTTAAAGATCTTTTTCGCTGGCGGTGGCATCCTCTGGTTATTATGTGGTGCAGTTGTGATGCTGCTACCAATAAAGATGAACTCTTTTATGTATGCCTTATCAGTACTCATTGGCATTGCAAATGCCTTAATGATGGTATGGAATAATGGAATCTGTATGTATATATATATATATATATATATATTTTCCCTAGCTATCAAGACAGATAAATACATACAAGGCTTCATCCCTACAATATAAATTGAGGATGTTGTTACATCAAACGGTTTCTTACTACTCCAAAAACTATAGTTAATAGTAAGGGATGAAAATAGGCTAGACCGAGTTGAGTTTTAGAGAATTAAGTCTGAGTGTACTATATTGATCATAGGCTTGAGCTTCTATGTAGCTATTTTGTTAGGCTCAATTGGTCTGATCTGCCCTAAAACCTTTTTAAGAGATTATTTAATATATAAGGCATTAAAATAAATAGGTTTTGAGCTTAATTTAAGGCCTACATGTTAGCCTTTTTAAGGTCTATATATGTGAAAATATTTTTAAAGTATACCAAGCCTAATACAAATATACAATAGTACATAACTAACAAAGGCATGCATGCTATGCTAGGTCCAAATTAGACCAGACCACAGGCCCCATAGACCTAGCCTATTTTCATCTCTAATCATAACAAATGACACAACTTTATTTCGTTATACCAAGGGGCATGGTGCTTAAGTTGGCCCTTTAGGTCTTTACCCAAAAATATAGATCATGTTTGGTATATGACTGTTAGCTGAGCGGTTAGTTGTTTGGGTTATAGAATATAACTAGTTCATAACATTAGCTCATTGTAAAAAGTGATTAGTAAATTAGTTGTTAGTTTATAACTATTTGGTATACTTTCTTTTCTCAAAAAATTAATTTAAAAAGTTGTCTTGAGCAGCTTTTTGAATTTTAGGATTTTAAATTTACAAAAAGTTGATTAATTAATCAAACAGTTATATTGATTTTTTAACCAAATCAAACGGCTAATAGTAATCAAATAAATCAAAATTAACTGATAAATTAACTATTTTACTAAATAAGACCATAATCACCTAGAGTATAGCCACCCCCACCTGGTGTTGGACTTGGCCTTCACGGAGCTCAGCTCCACCCAACTAACAGATGTAGTAATGAAGGCATTGTATTTCATCATGACAGGTAACTTCAATAGGCATGGAGAGTGCTCTTGTGGACAAACATCTGGATGGTTCGGCTTTCGTTTATGGATCAATGGGCTTCATTGACAAAGTACTATGTGGGGTGGCGCTGTATTTCCTAGAATCATTTGAGGGTAAGCAGTAATCTTCTTCTTCTGTACTGTAGGGCTGCAAAATCATATTGACAGTAGAACCACTAAAACTGATAATCCATCTGTGCAGATGCTGATCCTGTGGCATGCAATCCAGCGCAGGCTTGTTTCTCTGTGACGCGATTTTCGTTAGGGTTCATCCCAGGAATAGCTGCACTTTTTGGGGTCATAGTTTCCTTCACCATGAAACTACTGCACACCTCCCATAAGAAGCAGCCTTTAGCAGAACCACTTTTGGCATAGCCCATCCAATAAGCTAAGACTCCATCGGCAAAGTTGAATGATGCCTTATTGCCATTGCAGATCTAGATTATTGCTCAAGTTCTGATCTGCTCTGCTGGATTACAATCAGAGTTTAGATACTCTAGTTATAATAATGTTTGGATTGTGTATTCATGTACCAAAGAAACTTACACCTACTATGTAATTAAGCATTGGTGATGAGTGTACCAAATCACACCTCTATTTTCTGCTTAAATTAGCAATAAAGTATGCTTTTGTCATTTCTTTCCTTGGGATGCAATTCTTATACCATGGTTTATATTAGTAGGGTTTATATTATATTGTGAACCTTGATTTAAAAATTATGTGTCTGCTTTAACACATGTTGTACTTGCAGTTAATAATTTATGTACTTGTAAACAAATTGAAGGCACTTAACATGTTAATTACAAACACATAATATGATAACTATAAACTCATAAATTGTTAAATGCAGACACATAATATGTTAACTGCAAACACATAATATGTTAACTAACATGTTGACATATTTTGTACCAGCAGTTAACAATTTATGTACCTATGTTGTGTCTAAATTGCAAGTACTAAATGTGTCTAACTGTAGGGCAAGCACCTTTACAAAAATCGCGTTTAGACGCTAGATGCCAACCAGACACTGTTATAAAAATTGCGTTTAGACGCTAGATGCCGACTGACCGTCTAGTGTATCACCATATTCGGTGGTCTAGGCAGACGACTAAGTCCACTGATCGTCTGCCTGCCACAAAAATTGCGAACGACCATATGGTGCCACTTGAACACAAGTGCTTGATAAAAATTAATAATGTTAATTACTAAAATAATATTTTGATTATGCTAAAATTATCAATTTAATCCTTGATTTTTTTTTACCAAATTAAGTCCCTCAACTCAAAAGATCTTAACCAATTTTATCTTCTATTTTTTAATCATCAGACATCAATTTACTATAGTTAAGGGACCATTTTGGTCATCACATACATTATTTCCTCCCTTATTAACCGGACCCCAATCCAATCTATGAGACGTAGGAGGCGCTGGCCAAGTGTGGCACGTGTACTTCAACTGTCGGGCAACGTGTCCCCTAACCAAAACCTTAAATCCATCGCTGCCTGATGACTCATGCATTCTAGTCTTTACCTTTAATTTCAACCAACTTCTTGGCTTCTCAGATCAAGTCCAAACACATTAGAGATGATAGAAAACAAACTCATCTTCAAGATCATAGCTTTGATTATTATTATCGTCTTCTTCTTTTCCCTCTTCTCTCACTCCCTAGCCGCCGGAGAAGAGGCGAGCAAGGCCGATGGAATGGAAGCCGTCAGGAAAAGACGTCACCCCATTGTAGAGACGGCCATGGCATTGTTCTCTCTGCCTACCACGTTTCCAGATACCTCAGCCTACTGGACCAAACTCGATTCCTTAATCCAACAAGGCCGCGCATTCTTCTCCCCTCCCAATCTCGATTTCCGGCAGGGAGAGGCGCCGGAAGCTATGGAAGAAGGACCAGGGGAGAAGGTAAAAGAGGCGGTGGTGAAGAGCGTGGATAAGAGCAAAGAAACCATTGAAGATTCTGCAAAATCCGCGGCGAAGTTGGCCGGAGAGACGGTGGGCAAGGCGACCCAGAAGTTGAAGAACACACTGTCAAGCAAATATCAAGATCCTCCTGCAAAACCTGAGCTCTGAATCTCTGATCGATAGATACACAGAAACTCTAAATATATAGATGATAGCAGCTAGCTTGTTAGTTTTTTCAGGCAAAACTTATTAATAAATTTATATTACTGCACACTCTTAAGTATCTAAACTAGTAATTCAGCGATGCTGGGTAATCTTTTATTTTTTTATTTTTGAAAGAAATCTTTTATTTCATAATGAAATCAAATCTAATAATAATCTTTTATTTCATTATTAGATTTGATACACAATTCACCATTATTGTTTTTGTTTTTTTTTTTTGTAATTTAGTGGTTTTTCCCCACATTTTTCTCTCTTCACAGCCTTTAAGGTATATAAATATAAGATTGAATTCCATTTTTGGTCCTACTGTTATAGGGGCGTTTTCAATTTTAATTCACCTTAATTTTTTTTGTCATTTTATAACCACTATTATTGAATGTGTTTCACTTTTAGTCACATCGTTAGTATTTCCATCAAGAGGCTGTGTAATCTAGGGGTATTTTGACCTTTCTTCTCATCCAAGACTATGTTTGACTAAAGAAATGAGAACATTAAACTTAAAACTTAAGAAACCTCGCCGGCCCATGTTGGAACGAACGAAACGATGTAGCTTTGGCTTCCGATTCTCATTGTTCGAAGAGCTATCTTCGAATATCGAAGGAGGAGGACGAAGCGCCTGGATTAAAGGAGAAGAGACAAACATAAAAAGACCAAAATACCCTTTGATTATACGGCCTCTTGACAGAAATATTAACGGTGGATTAAAAGTGGAACACATTCAATAACAATGGTTGTAAAGTGGCAAAAAAATTAAAGTGGACTGAAATTAGAAACGTCCCTATAATAGTAGGACAAAAATGAAATTCACTCTAAATATAAAATATAAAGAGTTCCTGAGAATATTTCCAGTGAAAATTAAAAATTAATTTCAGTTTTATATTTGTAAAAATTATACTGATCATATCAAAAAAATTAAAAATGTTGTAGAATTATTGTAATTATTGTTAATTTTACACAATAATTTTAATTTTAACACTGTATGGTGCCCTTTTTAGTAATCGACCTTGCATGTTTAGATAATTTTTAAAAATACCAACAAAAAAATTAAACTTTAAATTATAAATACTAAATCTTAAATATTAAAAATTGAACTCCTAAATTAATGTATTTTGGAAATCTGGAAAATGACTTCTAGAAAATGAGTCATTTTTCAGAAAATATTTCCCTTTCGGTGTTTTGCTATACAATGGAAAACTGTCATTGTTTGTTTGGTTCATTTTCTAGAAAATGAACACTAAAATAAAAAGAATTAGATACTTCAAAATTTTAATTATTTGATACTTTTGATAAAATTCTTGTATGAATATCACTCTTATGAAATACCAGGACTATGTGGTCTAATGGTATCCGGGTTGGACTTTCATTTGGAAGATTATGAGTTCGAGCCTCAGTGAAGGCGTTATTGGTTCAGTAGGTTGAGAAAGTATATGACCAAATACTTGAGAAAGTATATGACCAAATACTACAATGTAATAGAACCAGTAGCTTTCAAAAAATCACTCTTTTGAAATATATATATATATATATATATATATGGTATGTAGTTATCTACAGTACTTATATATATTTGCATTATGTATAGTATGCAGTTATCTGCAGTACTTATATATATATATATATATATATATATATATATATATATATATATATATATATATATATATATATATATATAAACACAGTTTTAATTAAAAAATGTATTTTTTTAAAAAATTTTTAAATACATAAAAATGAATATTATTTATAAACTTTACTTATTTTTTAAAAATTTTGAATTCAAAAAAAAAAAAAGTTTGCGGATCGGGTCACGGGGCATGCCATCCCGCATGGGGCGGGCTATGGTTGCATGAACCCTAGTCCATGGGCTTGGTGGGCCGACATGTAAAAGACCGTAAAAAATTAAGTCCAAAAAATTTTGTATGTGCATCTCTTGGAAAATGACTTCCCCCAAAAAAAGGAGAAGTCATTTTCCTCCAAAACATATCTATTTTCCTTTGACTAATGCATCATTTTTCATTGATCTCATTTTCCCCCCTCTTGCCAAACATTAGAAACTCGGAAAACATAAAATAAAAATATCAAATAAATCAGTGTTGCAAAAATCGCGCCTAGACGCCGATTAGGTGCTAGGCGGTGGGAGGCCGCCGCGAGGAATGGCCTTAATTTTAGTCGGTGGGAGGCCGAAGGCGGTTTGACTCACTAATTTCTCAAAAAAATGCTTCTTTAGCTCTTAATTTTAGTTTTTTTTTACTATTTAGATGGTTTAAACAATCTTTTGAACAATTTTACAACCACTTTCGTAAATAGTTTCTAAGAAATAACTATGGAAACCTTATATTTTATTACTAAATTTTAAAAATTTTTAATTTTTAATTTTATTTTTAATTAAAAAATTAAAAAAAAATAAAAAAATTGGCGCCTAGGCGCCCCTTGCCGCCTAGAGGGCACCTAACATTTTTTGCAACATTGAAATAAATTAAACCAAATTGGATTTTGCATCAAGAAATGCACGTTATATTGTTTAAAGTACACTCCATAATATTAGAAGTGTACGTTATATTGTTCAAAAGTACATTTTAAAGTTGATAATATTTTTAAAATAAATTAATGTATTTTTTAGAAATTCATCTACGATTATACAATATTCTCTTTGTCTATTTTATTAGTCCTACTTACTATTTATTGGTCAAACCAACTCTTTCTTCTTTATTTATTTTCTTTAGTATTTTTTATTTATTTTTAAATTTAATTTTTTGTGTTAGCATAGTACTTTTAGGTATAGTTTCTAAATATATAAATTTTGTTAACTAATATTAAACTTAATATTATGAAAAATTGAATTAAAAATAACATCAATCAAGCCTCGTTAACCGAATCAGACACATAAAATAAGACGAAGTGAGTATATTATTAAAAATGCACTCAATAATATTAAAATACACTATAATATTGAAAATTAAACTTTAAACTTGATAAACTTATATATTAAAAAAAAAACAAAACAAAACAAAAAACAAAAACAAAAAAAAAAACAAAAAAACAAAAAAACAAAGTCACCTCAAATTTTTTTACGTTTTATTAGAACTATATGCAATCCATGATTTGAGGGTTGTTAAAAAAATAAGGTGAAAAAGACAAGGTTAGAATTATAAATATTCTAAATTTAAAAATTCATCTGTTATAAAATGTGTGTTTTTATACTAAAATTTTCAACTGTTGATAAATTCTGATTGTCTAGACAACTGGAAGAAATTGAGACTCGTGATAGGAGGATTTGGTTTAGGTCCAAAGTTGATTTGGCTTGGGAGTAGAGCCCTATAGATTTGAACCTGTGCCCCTTGTTCGACTGTGAATCCACACCCTCATTCTTTTTCTTCATTCCCTGCATGGAATCTCGGTGCAACTGTTGAAGCCTAGAGTAACCAGCAGTTGCATCGTAGGCTTCAGTCAAAGTAGCAAATCTCGCCACGGAGAAAGACTTCTGAGCATCATAGTGCAACCC